TTCTTTTATATAAATTAATTACTATAAGAACATATATAGCTTTTTGGGGGTGGTATTTTTGAGACAGGGTCTCCCTGTAGCTCCAGGTGTCCTAGAACTCACTATGTAGACCAGGCTGGCCTTGAACTCACAGAGATCTGCCTGCATCTGCTTCTCAAGTGCTGAGATTAAAGGCGTGTGCCACCATGCCTGGCTTATTTCAGTTTTAAACCACACCCTGATCACTCTGTGCCTGTAATTCATGTAGGAGTGGAAGGATGACCAGTAATGAGAGGATGGTGGCTTCCGTTAATTGATCACGTCAACATGCTTTGTAGTCTGGACATGTTTTGAAAATTGAGCCTCCATGATTGGGTTTTATGTGCATCCCATTAGGCTCCTGAGTCTATCTTAACAAATTACCACAATCAGTTGGCAAAAAACAAGAGACATTTGTTCTGTCACAGTTCCAGAGGCAGCAGTCCAAAGTCAAAGTGTCAGCAGGGGATCCCTGCAGGCTCCCGGAGGAATCCTGTGTGGCTCCTCTAGCTTCTGGTGGCACCAGGTGCTTCTAGTTTGTGCCAACCTAACGTCAGTCCCTGTTGATGTCTTCATGTGGCCTTCTCCCTGTGGTTCTTCTGCTTTTCTTTTATGAATAAATATACCTGCTGTCACACTGAGAGTCCAGCATAAGACCAAAATGATCTCACCTCAAGACACTTAGGGGTCTTACAGAGATCTTCCAAAAAAGGTCACAGATAGATCTTTGAGAGGGGGGTCTCTGTTCAACCTACTACATAGACATAGAAATCAATTGTAGAATTATAAAATGGACTTTGAAGTTGTTAATCTTGAATTACATTTATAATATACTGTATTAGTTACCTTTTTTTTTTCCCCTGTGACCATGTATTTACCTGACAAAAAACAATTTAAGGGAGAAAGGACTTATCTTGTTTTATAGTTTGAGGTGAGAGTCTATCGCGGGAAAGCATGGTGGAAGGAGCCTGAGACAGCCAGTTACATTTCGCCCACAGTCGGGAAGTCAAGGGATAGAAGGAAGTGAGACCATGCTAAGATTATCTACCTTAAGGTTCTCCCTGAGGACCCACTTCCTCTAGCTAGGACCCATCTCAAGGCCTGCCCCCAGGAGCGAATACTCTAACACATGTGGTATGATGTTTGACAGTAAAACCGCAACATATGGTATGTTTTATTTACCACTTTTCATTTGAACCTGGGAAGTTCCTGTAGCTTTTATAATTTTGTTCTAAAATTATAAATATAAA